AGTAAGTTCCCTTAATGATACTTTTCTGTTTAGTTACTCTAGAAATTCCTTTCTATCGATGGCTAAAATAATGACAATAATTAGATTCAAAAAGTTTAGATTTTATAACAATAACGATAGTGTTTTTTAATTGTTGTAATGAACAGTTAAAATAATTAAATAATATTTTTCAGTATGTCGATTCGGAATTATTTAAAGAAGAAATGGAACAATGGAAAGTTCCAGTAACAGAAGACGTAAGTGAAATTGAATGAAATTTTAATTGAATCTTCAGGAATAGTTAATGATCTCTTGACTATTTTAAGCGGAGTTTCTGTTGATATTCTCGAGTGAATAATTTCTGAAGTGAACGAGATTCACTTCAAGATGAAGTCGGCGTTGACAAGTGTTACCAGCATCACAACTGAATTTTCATCTGAAATGTTTTTCGGTCTTAAGCAATTATTCTAGCCACCACAAATCGCACGGGTCATTCCATTGGTCACAAACCATATCGGTGGCCAAATTCATGAAAAATTAGTGCTCCTGGCCAGCCAACTTCGAATAAATTCATGATCGAGCTAATCATTCCAGATATTGGACCGTCGGGAGCCTACCCCATCACCCGGTCCCCAACCCACCGAACCCCAGCCACAGCCCGAGGATGAATTTATGGGAATATTTTACGGAGGAGAAGAACTAACCGATAACGAAGATGACAACAATAACCAACAAGTAACTAACGACAACACTGACAACAACACTAACACGACCCAGGCAGAAGAGGGGCCTGCGCAGCCCCGTTACTTCTTGTGAGTTTCTTTTTCTGTAATTTGTCGCAATAATATTTCATTATTTATTTCACAACATTCCCACCACTCATCTTCTGACAAACAGTACAAATTGAGTAATCAGAGTTTATTGCAAAATACTATTTCATACAAAAGTACACAATCAAAGAATTTCAATTTAAAGTAATAACATGATAAGATGAACGTCTTTTAGGCGCAGGCCCCATATCCCGAGGCAGCCGAAGCAGCACCGTGAGCCGCAGGTCTTCCGGCCGCACAACATCGAGCATCTGCGGCCGGAACATCAGGCCGAGCTAGCGGCACCAGACTCAGAAGCGTACCACGTGGACGACGACAAGATCTGTAAGTTTCTATTGAATGATCATTTTTCATTAGATTGTTTGAGGTAATCTTAACTGATTGTCTTTGAATAGATCGTCATGAATACTCATTGAATATAAGTCAGTTCTGAAGGTAAGAATAGCAAAATGTAAGTGAGAATAAAAATTGAATTGAGCGTAAAAAGTGATAATAGGAAGGAGTGATTGAATATTCATTTTTGCTTATTACTGATGTTTTAGGGTGCCG